ACCAGGTGAGGCGTAATGATAATGAGACTCCCATTAGTAATACTGATGTGGGACAGGGCAGTAGTATCCGGTGTTTTCTATGTCAGGGTGTTGGTCATCGAGCAGCACAATGTCCATCCCGCGTTACTGATGTCAACCCTGGATAAAGCCAAGTTTGCAAATGACCGAGTGATGAGATGGGCGATGACTTTGCAAGGATATAATCATTGTGTTGAGGATATTCCTGGACTGAGGAACTTTTGAACAGTATGGTAGAATGTTATTTGTTTATGACTGTATTTCATATTTTATTATATTCTACTGTATGTGATTTTCGAATTTATGTACTTATTTGAAATTGTTATCATATTCGTATTATTGACGTCGTTGCTAGTCATGTAATATTATATGTTATAATATTCTTGAGGGGGGAGGCATGTCGCATACGACTTGTTTACCACTTCCGTGTGACTGAGAATGTTCTAGATTTTGTTTAGAAACTGGTTGAATAGGTAATAGGACACTGTAGGAGGCAATAGAAGGTAATGGAACATTCTAGAAATTGGCAGTAAGTTCCAGACTCATTATGTATGCTGATGTAATGGTCTATTTATAAACAGTGTGGGTATATATAGGGGAGTTGTTCAGCACTGAGATCAGATCGGATATCTCGTTGAATTGTATTGGAGTTTAAGTATCTAGTTATTGGAGTAGTGGAGTTTTACCGCGTTATTGTACTTGATGTTTGCAGAGTATAATAATACCAGTACCAGTTGAAACCTCATCTGTTGGCTCCGTGTTCGTGTTTTATCATCGCCGCCAGGGAAGTCTTTTTGTTACTGTTGCCATTTTGGTATTTGAACCATCACACCTGTACTATACCAATTACGGTAATATTACGTTGCGTGTGACATTCACTGTCTCTGCGATGGGGTAACGTCCACTGAGTAATGCATTTTGAATTGAGATGCTGGAATGGTTTGTTTTGATTTTAAAGGGTTCTCACGCCAGCATAAATTTGGAAAGCCGGCCGTGTATTTGCAGCTTCTGAAACTGCTATGTCAATGTGATGTTTAGTATATTTTATAAATGGGGGTATTTGGTAGACTTGCATACGGCCTCTAATTTCTACATCGCGAAACAAAGTTTCTTTCGCGGTAACCCGTCTTTCGCGGTAATCCTTCTTTTGTGGTAAGGCGTTTTTCGTGGTAGGTAGGTACTTGCCTACGTTATTTACTTTAAAGAAGAATTAGCCTGCAATATAGTCCTTTCTGTGTATTTCATTTGTAGTACAAAGTAAACATAGACGTTTGGTGACATACTACTGTATGTAGGTCAGTTTATTTGTATAATCATCCATCATCATGGTTACTTGAATTACTCCGATAGTCATATCTTAAAGTAGAAGCCTGCTCATATTTTTTGAGAAAGTTGGTCATAAATCACATGACAATGTTTATTGATCTATTATGTATAATTTAGGACAATAATGAGTACCCCAATATTAACAATATATAATATTTTCAGCCTATGTCACCAGGTACAATTTGAGATATTGCATAATATCTCTGTCATAAGTACCTATAGTAAAAGCGTTATAATACTATCAGAATGGCCACTATATACGAAATTACAACCGTATTTTTCGAATATTAAGCTGGTGACAACTTTTGTTAAGTGAATAACCTTGTATTGCCTGGAAATGAATAAACTCTGAGTATTTGTATTCATGAGTAGGCTTCTATCTTAAGGTCATTGCGCATTCTCGTCTTACTTGTAAATGAGCGGATTTCGTTAAGTATAATAATGTACATGTAATTGTCTGTTCAATCGATATGCTTAGCCACCGAACATTACTTCGTGACGCCAGGCTAATTCTGTCGAAAATTAAACAAAAGTAATATCTTCTTTTTTTTTTATTCATTACAGCATATATTCATTTTTTTTTACAAATTACAAAAAACTGCAGTTGATTCAGTTTATATACATTACTTTAAATCGGAATTTCGTTCCCATAATGCAGTACAACACAATCAGTAACGTGCTTAAAAAAATGCTACATTTGAATTGATTTGCTTTATACTGATTTATTTCAAAATTTGGCGTTCGTATGTAAATAGATGTCAAGCATTTTATCGTAAAAATTCGAATAATATTTTCACTTCTTAGAAAGTAGTTTTTGTAAAGTTTTGATTTCCAACACAGGGGTTTGACTAGATTGCAATCTTATACTCTTACGTCACCTTGATGCCATTTCTGATGCTCACGTCCACCCTGAATATGTTGCTAAAGGGTCAACCATTTGAATTTATGGGGTTGTTGGAAAATTGTGAAATGTGCATTTTTTTTCGCGATGTCATATTTGTATATGTTTTAATATTTTCCTTACATGCAGGCTTGCATTTTTAATCATATCTTACACCCCCTGAGATTGTTCAATTGGAAAACATTACTGTTGACTGTCACATAGGAGATGCTACGCCACTTGGACTCCCCAGCCTACTCGGGGAAAACCCGCTATACATTCAGTGTTCGTTGTAAGAATTTATAACATGCTTTTTCCATGTTGCTCACGCATCCTAAGCAATTGTCAGAAACACTTACATTTGCCTGCATTTCCACTTCGGAGTTTTGTGAAACACTGCCCAAAGAACAAGCAATACAACTTAAACCAATCGCGATTCCTCTCACTGTAATAGAGGGACTGTGAACAAATCTATTTTCATCGTGTCAAATTATTGTTATGTAGGCAACCAGTTTGTCCCCCACTCACTCACTCACTCACTCACTCACCCACTCACTCACCCACTCACTCACTCACTCACTCACTCACTCACTCACCCACCCACTCACTCACTCACTTACCAACTCACTCACTCACTCACTCCAGAGTTACCAGGTCATCCGGTTAGTGGAATCGGGGGCGTTGTGATCGTGTAACTATGTACGCGACGATATGTGTGTCGTGTCGAATTAGGCCAATGATGGCAGAAGTGGCAATCACTGGTCACCCACTGACAAGCTGTGTTCCGAAGGCCAA